TTTGAAAACGCATCACCACCACAGTTCGCGGGCACTATCGACTCGTCCGCGCTCGCCGCGGCCGCGCCCCAAATCGTGCAGAAAGTATGGGAGCCTAGCCTTCTTTAAACCGTAAGCAATATTCATCATCAATGTATACACCATTACTGTGAGTGACTTTTTGCCATCCGTTGACCAAGCTTGCTCCATGAACGTGGGCGGTTTTGTGACGAGAAAGGTACTGAGGTCATTTCGAGGCTCGTCTTGTGATCCTTTTTTTGTCGTCAGAATGGCTAGTGACCGATATGCCTGGATATCAGTCTGGAAGGACCTGGTCAACTCAGAGTGGATGTGGCAGAACTTCCATACTAGACTTCAACATCCAGTACTCTCTCCGAACCTGACTAGTTTCAGTTGCCGTAGCGTGGGAGAAGTTTCTTCTTCTAATTCGTGAATACACCGCAGACGGGTAACATAACCCCTTCCTGAATTTGTTGATTTTCGGCTTTCTGGTCGTTCCAATCACTTATCTTTCTGCGCGAGGTTTACATAGTGTGCTCAATTTTTGGGAAACAACTTGTATTCTGCACTTGTGTCGTATTCTTGTTACTCAGTGGTCCATTATGAGAAAATTTTGGTAGAGCTCCAGAGGTAGACTTTTGGACCAACCCAATAGATTCGCTCAAAGCAGCTTCGGTGGCCCTAAATCGGCAGTAAGTTGCTACACGTAGTCTCCTCTACAGCCTTGTAAACATATTGAAAATCGCCAATGAAAGCTCTGGCGAGTGATCCGAGAACATATGCACGAACTTTTGGGACAACCTAATAAGACCATGTCCTAATGAACACAATCGATCAACTCGTACAACCTAGTCGAAGCTTCAGCTTTCATGTTCCTTGCTTGTCCCGTGAGTGCTTTTCAGTTCGTTACGCTTTGCGCTGTCCACAGAATTCTCCTTTCTTCAGTGGTTTTTACTTGAATATACCTTACGCGTGCTGATGATGTTTAGCGTTCGTCAAAATTTTTATTGAATTTTTTTAAGGTTTGCTTAATCCTCTTGATGCTCAACATCATCTGCGGAGTGACGATGTTTCTATTCCATTCAGGGAAGGTGTGGTTTTAGACAAACCAACCAAACCTGATAGAGGCTCACTTTGCGATGTTGGCCTTGAAAAGGTAATCCAATTTTTGACGCAACGCTGTGTATCATTCAGCGCTGCTGTTGCAAAGTCGTTGTTATCAAAAGTGGTGTGATAAATGTCAGTTAATGGTCTCATTATCAGATCGTGTTGACTGGGATATACTGTTGATCTATTGTTGCTAATGTTAGTATGTTTCTGTGTCTTGCACGTATGTTCCTGTCATTTCGCTTACTGCATGAAAACTAATTTTTTAAAGGAGCTGGAACTGGAGGACAAGATTCAACTACCTGCCGCCACTCGTGTAACGGTTGAGATTACTAATTTGGGCGAAAGTGGGTTCTTTGTTGAGAAAATCGGTCCTTTTTCACATCATAGCTTATTT